TGACACTAACTTGAAAAACAGACTCTTTACACTGTTTCCTTTTCTCTACATTTACAGAATCTTTCAGACCATCACGCTAAATTAATAATTATATTCAGCCACACATTCATTTTCCTTTTCTTTATTTGTTTGTGTGTGAGCTTTTTTTGACTTCTGCCTGTCTACAAGGTCGACATGAGCGTGTTCCAGTTATTACTGCGCTCGGAAAACCCTGCAGAAAGACGTTTAATAAGCGGTCAATCTTACAGCCGAACTACACAGGGTACGGACGTGTAGGCGGAGCAGAGCAGGATTTCTCACCTGCTACACACACTCTGTCTGCAGCGTGTCGTTGCTGTGAGCTTCACTCTGTGTGTGTGTGTGTGTGTGTGTGTGTGTGTGTGTGTGTGTGTTGAGTTTAGCCAGGTGATAATTGCAGCTGTTCACAGAGGCTTTGGAAGCGTATAGGCTTTATTAACTGTTACTGAATTAATTAAGTGGATCGTTCTAACAGCAGGATGCACTGATTTGATTGATTTTATTTTAATGTGAAATGTAAAAACACCCACAAGGTTACTCAGCTGCTTCACATTGCCTCTGGTACAATTAGGTATTTATTTTATCATTTTAAAACAGACTAATTATTTTTTAACCGTTGCATGTCGTTTTTACCTGTTGGATGTCCCCTGACCCGCACGCAGAGACACATTAATAGACTGGCCGCGTAAAATTAGCCTTGAGCAGCGTGATGCTTGAGCAGGTGAGGCTTCAGTGGTCAGTGTACGAGCTTCAGTAATTATAACGGATGTGCTCTGCTACGTCGTGACCGTGCCCCATGTGTTTTGGTTGTTGGAAAGTTTTAACTCCGGAGAGAGAATGTTAATGAATATTACAATCACTGTCAAATCCTGTGTTGAACTCGTGCGACCATTTTGTTGCCTTTTTCCCTCCAGTTTGAAGGCACAGTTTGGATTTTTTGAAGCTCAACTGTGTGATGTATTTATCCAGAGTATATACATGTATCACCTGCAGTAGATGTTAGTCGGAACGCCCCAGTTTGGAGGAGCAGGCAGGAGTACTGCAATGGAAGTCAAGCAATGTACTGCTGTGGACAGGGGCAGCAGCAAAACGTATTTTAGCTGCCTACAAAAGATCAATATCACTTTAAGTGTACCCTATATCAAAGGGATAGTGCACCCAAAAATGTAAATTCAGCCATTATCTACTCACCCATATGAAGAGGGAGGCTCAGGTGAAGTTTTAGAGTCCTCACATCACTTGCAGAGATCCAAGGGGAGAGGAGGTAGCAACACAACTCCACCTAATGGAGGCTGACGGCGCCCCAGATTCAAACATCCAAAAACACATAATTGAAACCACACGTGAGCGCGGTGCCCAGAGAGGCAGTCAGAGCTACAGGCTACAATGAGGCTAAAAACAGAGTTCAAATGAGGTTTTTCCAAACAACTTTTTATGTCGGGGCTTCAGGACACTTGGATCACTACGGACGAGCAGTATGGAGATATTTTGTGGTTTCAATGATGTGTTTTTGGACGTTTGAATCTGGGGCGCCGTCAGCCTCCATTAGGTGGAGTTGTGTTGCTACCTCCTCTCCCCTTGGATCTCTGCAAGTGATGTGAGGACTCTAAAACTTCACCTGAGCCTCCCTCGGCATATGGGTGAGGAGATAATGGCTGAATTTACATTTTTGGGTGTACTATCCCTTCAAGAGTATTTTCATTGCTTCACCTTGCTGTCAAACAGCCTGTGCCGACGGGGAACTGAAGCCATTATCTATGCTCTCGTCAAAGCCAGACGCCATTGACAAAAGCAGCATTATAACCTCACTGAACACAGGAGCTGCTGGTCGACGGCCGCTCCATCAGTTGGTCTGTTTGTGTCATTGTGTGACTTTGCTGAATCCAGTCTAAACACCAAAGTCACACTGATTAAGACAGCCATAGACTCGCAGATCTCAAGTTCAGTAGGTTAAAATATGGTTATAATTTTGGTCTTTGAACCATGTGACTGCTCTCCAGGCTCAGTGTCAGCAAAGTGCACTGGAGCTTAACTCCTGACTTCAGGTCCTTAGGAATATTCAGAATAACAATGTATTTACTGTATCTGCTCAAAGGCTTTGATTCTACAGGTAATCTATATATCTGTCATTAAAAGTGTTCTGTCACACAATATTTCTGCACGCATGGTGACCTGAATCGTACAGACGTCTAGTGCCAGTGATCAGCACCTCCTTATAATTCTTAGTGTGTTACTTTTATATTTGAAACCTTAATCAAGCTGGTGAGGGTCATCAATGTGGCCATTAAACTAATCATGTCGCCTGTTTTCCAGAAGCTACAGAGACATATACAGAGGACATTTATCCTAAAGGAGAATGTCTTGCTCAGTTCTTCAAGACTCCATTTTCATGATTTTCTGTTTAAACTTTATGTATTGTACTGTCAGTGTTATATCTACAGTTTTTATTACCACTTTAACTGCCTGATGGGCCAGAGACAACTGTCAGCTTAAGCAGGAGATATAGACGCTAGTTAGCCAGTTAGCACATTAACAAAACCACCAGATGGTGAAAGAACTGTGCGCCAGTGAACAATAACACAATCACGAGCCGTTTCTGAGCTCAGTGTCTGAACAAATACTGAATATAACAAGAGCGACAGGAAGGCAACCAAAGCACTGCGACAAAATGTAGAAGGAAGGAGGAAGAGGAAGGAAATATGAAAAAGAGTCAAACACGTCAAGTGTGGTGCAGATTGAACATTTACGCTGAAGTAAAAGGAATTTCATGTTTCATGGTGAGACAACAAAACTTGATGCCACGCCACAGCCACACCGTTAAGTGCTGAGCAAATCGTTCAACAACTTTTGATCACAAAGTTGTCCAGATGGTTCACACCAGTTCTGAAGTTATTAGGGCCCGAGCACCGACCGAAGGCCGGGCGAAGGCCCTCTTGAAACTGAAGGAATTATTATTATTATTATTATTAGTTTTCATGCAAATGAATTGCCTTTTTCGGAGGCTTAACATACCCGAAAACTCATGAAACTTTGCAGATATATCAGAACTGGTGAAAAATTTGATATTTTAAGGGTCTCGTGTGCGGGTTCCAAAAAGTGGCTCAGTAGCGCCCCCTACAAAAGTTTGAGGAAACAGCCCCTGAAGCTAGTTTAACCTACATGTATGAAACTTGGCAGGCTTATGTAACCCTCCAAGACGTATAAAAAAGCCTCTTGGAGGCATGCTCTAAACCCAACAGGAAGTCGGCCATTTTGAATTTACTGTGCAATTTTGGTGCATTTTTGGCCATTTCCAGGGGTCATAAATGAACGAACTAGTTTGGATTATGTCTGCAGGAGGAGTTTGTTAAAATGAGACATGTGGAAAACGCAACAATTTGGCAATGAAATTTAAAATGGCTGACTTCCTGTTGGGTTCGGCCTGTGGGTCCAAGAGGCTTTTTTCTGCAGCTTTTAAACATTTCCTTCCTTGTGTCTGGATCGCCTTCCTGTCGATCCCGTTCTCCACGAGCACCCGACACAAGGTTCTGATCCTGTTTCCATCTCACGCCCTCTTGACTTTAATCTTCTCCTTACTTAAGTTTCTATTCTCATGTGCTGAGCTGCCAATCAGAGTGATTTTATTCGTCAACCATCCACCATCTCTGACACTGATTCAACATGCTGAATCGGCCCAAAAAAGGCTGATGAGGGCCAACAGTGCGGGACAAACTGCAAAGACTACAGATGTTCACCGACGGCCCAACAGGCGACTTGGTGTGTCAGGGCCTTACGACGGGATTCTGCAGAACAAACATGGGTGCACCAAAGATTCACACCTGTAAGAAAACGCACAAGTATCCTTTTTCAAATTCGCCTTCATATAATTAATAAATGCCCTTCTTACATTAATTTCTCACCACTTCACTTTCCGTCTTATCCTTTCACAAGAATTATAAAACTGTCAAGGATACAGTCTGAAGATACAAAGCTAACAACCTCTGTAACCTCCATCTGACTTCATGTTCTTAACTTTGAAGGACTTCCATTTGGCGGCTTCATAATTACAAGTTGACAAGTGGGAAATAGGCGTTAACATTATCGCCCTCCTCACAGAATCATTGTGACAGAAACAAACAGCTGATAATTGTGAAGTCAAGCACCCATTGTGTTATAATCCCTAATATATCTTGTGTGCTGCGTAATCACCCGCTCGCTCCGTTTATTCACCTTAAATTGGAAAATGGCGAAACCTGCCGCCAAGTCACTCCACAAATAATTTAATGCACCAACAAGCGGACATTTTTTGGAACATAAAACCTGTCTCATCTCACACAAACAGGCCCCCTATGCACCGTGACTCAGTGATTACTGCCTGCAATATTTCTCAATCACTTGAGCTGAAATCCCCAAGCGCACATATGCACGGAGACAGGCAGCGCTTAGAGAGACGAGGGCAGGAAGACGAGAGGAGAGGGATGAGCGGAGAGACATGCGTGCCTGACCTGCATGCCAAGTAGCCATCTTTGTACCCACCCTCTTTTTTTTTACCCTCTCCAGCCCAAACACACACACAAACACATGTGCACTCACTCAAACACTAACACACACACATGTTGGGGCTTGGACACACATTCTTTCCTCCTTCCAGACACATACATGAACGCACGTCACTGCGGCAGCACAGACACACCTGGTCAACACCTGGCTGCTCTGTGAACACACGGACCCTCCCCTAAAAACACACACTCATGGTCGCACACTCACGTTAAGCAGAAAGGGAGGAGAGGATGAGGTGTGAGCGAATCACCTGTCACATGCCTCCACATACATTAAGAAGGTGCACACACACACACACACACACACATGCACACACACACACTCCTGTACTCCACATCACTCCGTCATCATTCACGCAGCGACAGAAGCAGTCATGACAGCACCACAGAGGAACATCAACATGTCTCAGCTGAGGATGCAAGGACGGGGTTAGAGAGAGTTACCGTTGCTACTTAATGAGCATGTCGGCGGCCGCCTGGCGCATCCTCCCGCTCCACACGCCTCCCTCTTCCTCCTCCCCCCTCTCCATCTTTTCTCTCTTTTTTTTTTTTTTCACTGCGGCTCTGTGTCTTTCCCGCGCCCTGAGGATCCGCCAGAGTCCCCCCTCGCTGGTACCCGTAGTAGCGCCTCAGAGGCAGTTAGCATCTCTTCCTGCTCCTCCTCCTCCTCCCTCCTGTCCCTTCCCCTCTCTCTCTCTCTCTTTCTCTCTCTCTGTCCGTCACCCTCTCTCGCCCCTCGTCCCTGACACAAACGCTAAAAAAAAAAACCTCCCTCCGTCTCTCCCTGTCGCACGTTCTCTCCCCTGCTGCTGTTGCCTCTCACTCAGTACAGCATGTGCCTCCTTCCAAAGCCCAGGCATTGCCAACCATATGATATCACTCAGTTGCCTTATATGGGAAAACGGTGGGTTGCCATGACGACAGCAGACTCCACCTGTTTCTCCATCTCTCTCTCTTTCTCTCAGTGTCAGTCCACCTTTTTCATCAGGAGATAGATGGTGTGGTTTGGGTAAATAGACACAGCACATGAAAGAGCAGAGAGTGGGTGGAGAGGAAGGAGGAGTTGAGACGGGCGAGATGAGAGAGGATGAGAGCCGACGTGATGGACAGAAGCTGACGGAGGTTCGGAGGGAGAGGGAGCAGGCTTAAAGGAGTAGCTTAACGTTTTTGGGAATGTTTTTTGAGAGAGATATGAGACGATCAATATCAATCTGTGTGTTAAATTAAGAGCAGGTTTAGCTTAGTGTGAAGACTGGGAGCAGGTGAAGCAGGTGAAGCAGGTGAAGCAGGTGAAGCAGGTAACCTCTCTGTCGTCAGTGACAAATAATCACCTATCAAAGCTCATTAATTAACACAACATATGTCATGACCTATGTTGTGTTATGACCTTCACATTAACAGCAGCCGGTCAGAGTGACTCGTCCTGTCGTCACAGTGAGGCTCGCAGGTTTGGTTCCATCATGTCGGCGCTGAGACCAAAACTAGGCCAAATCCAGATCAGTCATCCTCCGGTCCTGTGTAAACATCTCATGATATTTCTGTCACTTGGTGGCTCATAAAAGTCTTTTTTTAAACCTCTTTCAGACAACAGATATCTGTATGACGCAAGTCGACTCGACATGTGTTCGATCCTCAAACGACTTATTCACATGGGGCAGCTGTCACTCTGCTTCATGCTGTTGGAGAAGACACATAAACTTCACTGATAAACACAGAGTGTTGCTGAGCTGCATCCAATAGTTTCATCTCCTGGTCCGTCCATGTGCACAGTCTTGACTGATCACCTGCTCTTCTCCTCTCTTCTTTGGTGAGTTGATAAAATGCTGTTTAAATGTCAGATGAGTTGATTAAAGTTCATCTCTATTAGAGACGGCACTTCACCAACACTGGTTCTAAAGGAGGTCGGCTGATGCTGACTCAGATAGACGACCCCGACATGGGTTTGACCCACAACACCGTCTCCGTCTGAATGGGATATGACTGACTGATATTAATGATTAATGGGCATCCTGGGTGATTACAAATAGACAAGTGAGAGCAACTACCACATATCTTTTGTAGTCTAAACGTTAACGTGTCTTGTTGTGTCCCCGCCTAGACTGTTCCAACTCGTTATATTTTGGTGTTACTCAGTCTTGCAGCAAGAGTTTCAACAAGGTCAAAGAAGAGGGAGCACGTTACCCCCTTCTTGCCTCCCTACACTGGCTGCCTGTTAGCTACAGTGTTAAACAGCCCCGCCCCCTCTTACATCACACTGTGAGAGAACTGAGATCGTCTGACCAAAGACCAATTGGGCCAATCCCAGTTCTCTTCCCTTAACCTTACCCCTTGGTTCCAAGCACACTCGCCAGATAGATTCCCCTCAACAATGAAGGGGTAGTGCTGAGGGGAATTTTACCTACGAATTGGGATGCCACTTTGTACAAATTAGCGTGTACGAACAGACGTGTTCACCTAAGTCACGGGTATCGTCAACGTAGGCTTCTTGCACGAAGAACTCTGTAGATATTCATGTCAGCTACATCGTGAATTAGCGTGCTTTCATATTCTAACTCAATTCTAACAGATAACAATGCATATGCAGAAACAACACATTCCGACATATTTTGGAATTTTTGCATGCTTATTTGGGAAAATAGTCATTAAAATCAAGTCAACTCGCCTGGCTGGATAGTTTTGCAATGCATCCTTGGAAATTCACTCTTCCCCTCAGTTGAGATGGGTTCGTAAAATTAAGTGGGGATTTTAAGGGCTGAAAAGCACTTCCCTAAAATTTGGGACACATTAGCCCTTCACGGGAACGCGCAAGAACAAGGGCTAGGGCCAATTTTGAGGGGAAGTGTGAGTATTGGGACGGACCGGGACAGGGCTTTCTCTATCGCTGCCCTGAAACTCTGGAATTCTCTTCCTCCCACCGTCCGATTCTCCCCCATCATTTAGGCTTTAAAGAATCATCTTCAAACACTTCCACGGATGCAAACACGAAAGCCAAGGACAAAAGTCCAGTTTTTCCTGACCCTGCCACCCCGCCTCCTTCCTTGTTAAGTGTCATCAGCGCAGTGGTCTCGTGATTGCAGCCTTTCAAAATACACGGGGCATGTACGAATTTGGGTGCATTACTTATCGAAGGAAAACATACGACAGCCTGTTGTTGTTGTGAGCAGTTTCATGTGGGAACTAATGTATTTTTTACTGACCTACACCCCCCCAACTGTATCACTCTGCAGAAGGAAGAGTGCATCTACTGCTAGCTCACCTAGCACCACTGAGCTAGCTAATGTTACAGCTCAAGGAGGACGATAGATGCACTCTTCCTTCTGTGCAGTGATACAGTTGGCAGGTGTAGTTTGATAGAAAGAAAGTAGTTCCTACATGAAACTGCTCACAACAAGGTCTGTGGATTATCTTCAGTAACCAGGTCATGATTTTTGCAAAGAGACATTGATGTTGAGTTTTGAGCTCCACAAGCTGAGTGACATCTGTGTGTCATTATACAGGAGAGAAGGCAGACATCTCTACGGCCAATAACTCTGACACTCTACAGCTCACACTAAAACTATCTAGACTGATAATTGGAGGTAAGGTAAGAGGGAGAGTGTATAGTTTTGATTTTGGCATTAAACCGTCCCTTTAAACAAACTAGATACATTTTGTTTGGAGAGAGCTAGGCTAGCCGTTCATCCTGTCCTCATGCTAATCTAGGTTAACCCCGTCCTGACTCCTGCTCTGTGCTGAACTCACTGACATGAAACTGACATCAATCTTCTGAACTCCCTCTCAGACAGAAAGCAAACAAAAAACTGCTGAACTGCTCCTTGAAGCCAGAGAAAGAGGAAAGCTGCAGCAGGCTGCTCTGTTTAGACCATCTGTCTCAGGTATCACGTCGGCACGAGGTGATTGATGGCGGAATGAAAGGCAGAATATGAAGAGAAGAGAGAGAGAGGGGAGGGATTTGATGGAGCGCTGAGTTTAATATTTCACATTCTGACATTTTCTCTCACTTAAATCCTTTTCTCTGTATTCTATCGCCAACTCTTTTCAGATAATAACCACTAAAGAAGTGGCCATTACTGCCCCAGCAAGCCGCTCATAAAAATGCCTCCACTGTGTGCGACTAAAGCCCCAGAGGCACCTCGCCACATAATGCGCTTGTGTGGGTTTCAGAGCCCACCGATGTGCTGTTATTATCTCCCAGGAAGAAAATCTTCACATGTGGAAACAGAAAGCACTCAGAGAGCTCATACCTCCCCCTGAAGGCTGCACTCTCCTAGATCTGTTATCTAACTCAGATGGAAGGAGCCTCTGTCTCTGTGTCTGTTTGTACGTATGTCTCTATATAAATATGCATGTATGTATGTTTTATGAATGTATGTATGTACTAGGGGCGTGACAGTCCTGAAACAGAAGCCAAAACTGCAACATGTCGTCCATGGTCTTGTGTTGTGGTTCCATCTCCTGTGCTGCGGTCGAGTTAAGTGCCGTAACTGTTACAGTAAGTATTGAGACCAACGAGTCCCTGTTGGATGTTTACATCGTTAAAAATAAATCTGCTGTAGCAAAAAAAAATGCTCTGAAACGTGACCCCCTCAAAACTCAGCTACATACCAAATCGTACATTTTGTGTACCACTAACGTTCCTCTTATGTATGTGAGTCCTTCGATTGTTTCAACAAACGTTTATCTAATCGACCACACCTTTTCAGGTGTCTTGCTGAGGACTCAAGGAGGTGCAGTGGTGAGCAAAAAATAGGTCTAGCACTGCCTACAGAGTGCTGCATCAGGCTGTCCTCACAAACTGTGCGTATGTTTTCCTACAAAAAGTAATGCACCCAAATTCGTACATATCCCACGTATTTTCAGCAGCTGCAATCATGTGACCAATGTGCCGAACAAAAACCCAGACTTTCTCCCGGGACTTCCCCCTGGAGATGCCTATTCAGAACTGTGTTGACTTAGAGTAGGTACGTACTCACAATGTTTTCTTTACTAAACCTAACCACAGTAACTTTACTTGCTTTAACCTAACCTCCATATTTTTTTTATTATTTTTTGGCCTTTATTTGAAAGGAGAGTGCTATTGTGAAGGGGGGGTTGACATGCAACAAAGGGCTGCAGGTTGGAATTGACACCACAGCCACTTCAACAAGGGCATAGCCTTTTTTAGATAAGAGTTGTTCAAATTTGCAGGAAAGCCCAATCAGTGTTTTTTCAGCATTGGCAGTATAAAAACAAAATGGGGGAGTGCAGCAAAATGCCGCCTACCTACTTTTGTTTATACAGAATGTGCCTTTTTCAGGGCAATGGGGGGCGTGAGCAAGTAACAAAACGTGTAGCTCAGCGTGTGACGTAAACAGTGACGTGGGAGGGAAGCCGCGGCTGGTCAGTCCTTCGGTGATTCTCTC